ATATATATATATATATATATAGGTAGAAACTAAATATATTTTTATAGCTTCGTGATACGAATAGAAAGAACAAGAGTGACTGACTTAAGCATCTGCGTCTCGAAGCAGCTCTGATCGCCTTCCCACTTGCAAATCGCGCTATTCGCATGATAACATGATAATCCGACAGTTAGTATTGGATAAAGAAATATGTGAATACGCCCATTGTGACCGAAATAAACAAGAGCACATGTCTGGGTAGTGTTTAAACCGATCGGGTAGCAAATGGATACGTCTCTGTAGCTGAAGCTTTGCACCAATGTTTCCATTTTCAGCAGCAAAGCTCGTACCTGTGTTCATGGCTCAGTGGGCTAAGCCTGTGTGCCTGTAATCTCAGGGTCGCTATTCAAACCCAGCGTATTTAGAACGTGAATAGCGATCTTCAGCTGAGATGCCACAAAACTTCATACTACTAATAATAATTAAATATATATAAAAAACATTTTAAACCGTTTAACTGATAGTAATAATCGGTCAAAATTAATTCTTTCGGTTAACGGTTAAACGGTCAAAATGAGCATCCCTACTCCCAAGCCTACCTAGTATAATATTTTGTTTGGAGTTATGTAGGTAGTGCAGACATGGATGAATTAAACTGAAGCACACAAATGACTTATTTCTTAATACGTTTGTATTCTCCAGCTGCTTTTGTCTTTGCGAGAAAGAAAAAAAAAGTTTTTCTTAATCAACCAAGAGAACCAATATTTAACGGGATACCTTGTTGATAAAAAACAGCAAAGAACAGCATAGCTGTCTACCAGCATGACCAGCATATGTTGTATTTCGATGCTAGTGGACCAAGATCATTAATGAACTAGAAATGAAAGTTTATGAACAAACTTCATGTTGGCATGAAAAAAACTAGCTATATAAAGTTTGAAGGACTAACCAGCATGGAATTCATGTCCGAAACGGTTTCACAGTAACCGCGTTAAACTACACAGTCAATATGCACAACATTCGCTCCTTTGCAGAATTATGACTGACTGCTCTTTGAACTGCTGTTGCTGCCAAAGCTCTTACTTGTTAAAGGTTCGTCCATACTCGATCTTCTCCGTCTTCTCGGCACATCGACTAAAATCAAGATAAAAGTTTGTCTATATACAGGTACAGTTGCAAAATATACATTAATAGCATATTAACTTGATATGTACGTCTCTATAGTTAACAAAGCACTGCAAAAGTTCTAACATAAGACGTAACATTTTAACTTGCAAACTTACATTCGACTGCCGCCATTTTGTCGGTTCTGCCAAATTTGTAAACTGTTCCCCTGCTAAACGTAGGAATTGTTTAAACTTAAAAAATAACCCACCTTCAATTTCAAGGCATGTTAACGTGGAATACTTTCGGTAATCGTTTCTTTATAAGTGCAATTTTAGGCTGTCGAAAACAACTTCTAAGAGAACTTCTAAACACGCCCATGCAAAAGTGAAAGCTAGACATGCCGCTTACCCGGAAGTTCTGGGAGTCTCCGGCAAAGGTTTCTTCTTTTTCTTCTTTTTCTTCTTCTTTGGAGTTTAAGGCGGCTTGCATCCGTAAGTGTTGCACTACCGCCACCTTCTGGATGATTCTCCTTCGAAGTTTCTCCTCACCATTTCCAGATTATTTCCTCCACATCTTATATTCTACCCAGCAAACCAGTAGTAGCTAGGAAATTACGAATGCTTTTCTTGCCTTGCCCAATCATCCCACTTTTCAATACATCTTTTATCCCTGTTCCACCCTTTTCTTAATTCTTCCATCATTTTCCTCCTTTGTTCTTCATATCTTCTGCAATTTATAAGCACATGTTCTATGGTTTCAGGTGTCTGACAAACCTGTAAATGTAATGTAATGTACTATTCAGGTTACTGTGTCCAATTCTCAATCTTGTCATTACCGTTTCCTCTCTTCTAGGCCCTCCCCAGTTCCTTTTCGTTCCAACTTTATTTTGAATGCCATATAAATGTCTCCCTTTAGTTTCCCTATCCCACTGCTGTTGCCATTCTCTCACAGCTTCTTTCCAAACTATACTCTTCCCTTCAGCTTTTGACATTTTTATATATACTTCAATTTTATCTTTTTTAGTTGCTTGCTTGGCTAGCTTATCCACCCTCTCGTTTCCCAAAATACCTATGTGAGCTGGGGTCCAAATAAGTTGAATCTCTTTACCTTTTCCTTTTATTCTCATATATGTCAGCAATATTGCATACACCAGATCCTGACGGCTATTGGACACCCCTGAACTGAGACTGTACAGTGCAGACAACGAATCACTTCCAATCAAGATTTTACTTATTTTTTCTTCCTTTCCAACCCATTCTAATGCCATCATGATGGCATATAGTTCGACTGTATACACACTCAGTTCATTCGATGTTCGTTTGCTTTCTTCACTTCCCTGGTTACCTATAACTATTGCAGATCCAGTCCTTCCAGATTCAGGATCTTTTGATCCATCTGTGTAAATCTGAATATGGTCTCCATACTTGTGCTCCACATATCTATAAAATTCATCTACTAGGTCTATATTATTACTTATTAATTTGATTTGCCGCAATTTAAAATCAACTTCCATGGTTTCTATTTTCCACACTGGACAGTCAGGCCATATCACAGTTGGACAGAACTCTTTTTCTCTCACCCCCAAATCTCTAGCTGCCTCATCTCCCCCCGGCAAAGGTTTTTTGAATAATGCTTTATTAGTACTTCAGACATTTGATACAGCAGAGTGGATCAGGGCATAAATAAATCAGAAAGGACACGAGGAAGAATAATGTAGGGACTTAAGTTACAAAAGGAATACATAAAATTCTTTACAAATACTGATAGTCTTTATGGCTTTGGAATTATTACAATCGTAAATAGTTTGGAGGTGTTGTTGAAATTCGTTTTCAAAAATAATAAACATAGGTATTTTGTGATTTAATTCTCCTGTTAAGAGCTGATGGACTCCAGCGAAAGCAAATCATTCCTACTTTAGTGTCATTTAGGTTCCAGGTATAAGATTGGAAATCTCTAGCCACTTCTTTAAACAGAAACAATAACACCCTTGGGAATGGCATCCATTACAACAGCAAATGCCACATTGTTTCATGGAAATGAAAATGGTCAACATACATACATCCATGTCAAAGGGGGTCCAGAGCCTATCCCAGGAGCTACAGGCAGGGAACAACCCTGGATGGGGGGCCAGCCCATCGCAGGGCACACTCACACACCATTCACTCACACATGCACACCTATGGGCAATTTAGTAACTCCAATTAGCCTCAGCATGTCTTTGGACTGTGGGCTTACCAACATAGAGAGGGCTGAATTCAAAGACACCTCGAAAATAAAAGTGAAAAAAATGATGCAGCAGCTAGTCAATTTTGCCGAAATTTTATTGCAGCAACTCAAAATCATACTCAGTAGTTTGTATGGTTCCCACGTGCTTGTATACATGCCTGATGACGTCGGGGCTGCTCCTAATGAGAAGACGGATGGTGTCCTGGGGGATCTCCTCCCAGATCTGGACCAGGGCATCACTGAGCTCCTGGACAGTCTGAGATGCAACCTTGCAGCGTCGGATGGACCAAAACATAACGTCCCAGAGGTCTTCTATTGGATTTAGGTCATGTGAACGTGGGGGCCAGTCAATGGTATCAATTCCTTCATCCTCCAGGAACTGCCTGCATACTCTCGCCACATGAGGCCGGGCATTGTCATGCACCAGGAGGAACCCAGGACCCACTGCACCAGCATAGGGTCTGACAATGGGCCCAAGAATTTCATCGTGATACCTAATGGCAGTCAAGGTGCGGTTGTCTAGCCTGTAGAGGTCTGTCTGTTTCTCCATGGATATGCCTCCCCAGACCATCACTGACCCACCACCAAACCGGTCATGCTGAACAATGTTACAGGCAGCATAACGTTCTCCACGGCTTCTCCAGACCCTTTCATGTCTGTCACATGTGCTCAGGGTGAACCTGCTCTCATGTGTGAAAAGCAGAAAACTCCAGTAGTGGACCTGCTAATTCTGCCAATCGAGCTCCATGGTGCCGGGCAGTGAGCACAGGGCCCACTAGAGGATGTCGGGCCCTCAGGCCACCCTCATGAAGTCTGTTTCTGATTGTTTGCTCAGAGACATGCATACCAGTGGCCTGCTGGAGGTCATCCTGTAGGGCTCTGGCAGTGCTCCTCCTGTTCCTCCTTGCACAAAGGAGCAGATACTAGTCCTGCTGATGGGTTAAGGACCTTCTACGGCCCTGTCCAGCTCTCCCAGAGTAACTGCCTGTCTCCTGCATTCTCCTCCATGCCCTTGAGACTGTGCTGGGAGACACAGCAAACCTTCTGGCAATGGCACATATTGATCCTCCATCCTGGAGGAGTTGGACTACCTGTGCAACCTCTGTAGGGTCCAGCACCCCGCCCTCCCGGATGCCCCTCATCTGCCTCTCTGAATATCCAGAAGGTGGGATGTCTTTAATTTATAGGCATATTTTCAGAAGTGAACTTCTTGTGTAAACTGAGAACCATCTTTACATGAATAGTTGGCTCCCTCTTGTGGTGGGAAGGACTCAGCACAACCTATTTTACGTTTGGTTCAAAGAAGTTGCCTTCTTTGACTTGCTATTTATTTTTTTTAACATTTTTTTTAGATCTGTTACCTGTCACTATTAATATTACTGAACCTGGTTCAAATTATAACAACATCCTACTTATCTCCCAGTGCCAGCATAGATTATCAACAAATCACTGTGTAATCCCAACACGGGTCACCAGAGCCCATCTCAGAAACAAGGGGCACAGGTGGAAACCAGCCCTGGGCAGGTGCCAACACACACAGTGGGATGAAACCAAAGCCCCTGGCAGAAACCCACGCAAACACGTGGAGAGCATGCAAGCTCCACACAGAAAGGA